ATGTTTTGCAAGGTTCTTTTTCTGGTCGAATGATTCAATTGTGTTTCCACATCACAATTTGTTCTTGTATTCATCGTTGGTAGACATTTGGGTTCTGCCTTCCTTTTGGTGTTGTGAACACTGCTGTTTATGAGCATGCCTGCACATGCATTTGTTTGAGCACCTGTTTTTGGGTGGAATTGCTTGGTCATGTAATAAATGCTATTCTGCTTCTTGATGAACCACCAAGCTGTTTTCCATAACAATTGAACTCTTTTACATTTCCACTAGTAATGTTTGAGGGATTGGATTTCTCCATATTTTGCTGACTCTTTCACATTTAAAAAATTATAATTACCCTTATACATATAAAATAAAGTCATGGTTAAATTTGCTTTTCTCTAGTGACTGGTCATGGCATTCTTTGGTGATTTTTCTATCTTTTTTTGGAGATTTTCCTTTTCAGTCTTTGGTAGTTTTATTATCTTTTTGTCCCTGAGCTATAAGAGTTCTTCATCTTCTGTGGAGAACAGACCTTCATCTTGGTCCTTCCCATTTTATAGATTGTCATTTTACTTCTGAGTAATATCCTCTGCTGCACAAATAATTTTTTTAAAATTTGCTCTTCAAGATAAGAGTTTCTCTACATAGCTCTGCCTGTCCTAGAACTTCCTCTGTAGACCAGGCTGGTCTCAACTCAGAAATCTGCTTGCCTCTGCTTCCTGAGTGCTGGGGTTAAAGAGGTGTGCCACCACATCTGGCTCCTGTGCAAGATGTGTGTGTGTGTGTGTGTGTGTGCGCGCGTGATGTGTGTAGATGGCTGCAGAGTCCAGACTATCACTTCAGATCCCCTGGAGCTGTAGTTAGAGGTGTTTGTGAGATGTGTGATGAGGGTGCTGGTAACTGAACTCTAGTCTGCTGGAAGAACAGCAAGTGCTCTTATCGTAGAGCCAGCTGTCCAGTCCCTGCTGCACAAATTCTTAAAAGTTTGACAACTTTCACCCGGCTTCTCCTTTTTTTTAAATTTTTTATTGTTGTTGTTGCTATGTTTTTGGTGCCATATCGAAGAATCCCTGGTCATGGTCATGGGTTTAACCCTCTATTACTAGTGTTTCGTTTAGCTGTTCTATTTCTGTCATTAATACATCTTAAGTGAGTTTTTGTATATGGACTGCTCAGTCTTCTGCATGTAGGTTTAGCTCTCATTTTTAAAGTAATTAACATTTTTTGGGAGGGGTCAGAAACTACAAACTTTTTTTTTTTAAACAAACGGTTTTGCTTTCAACATAACAGGCATAAACAGGTGTTTTCTCTTTGGTTTCTGTTGGATAAAGGCCTGGCTTGCCTGGGCTGGGAGAGGAGAAGCTACAGGCTCCACTCATGAAGCCAAAAGAAAGCTGGAGCTGGGTCACCAGGAAGGCTAGGCAGGGCGGTGGATCAGCAGAACAGGTAGAAGGTTGTGAGGTAGGGTTTGGCTCTGTAACGCAGCTTAATATAGAACTCGCTGTGTAGCCTCAGGCTTTCCTAGGCTGGTTGGCTCAAATTCATGGCGATGCTCCTGCCTCCGCCTCTCAAGTTCTGGGATTTACATATGTGGGCCCATTCCTGGTCTTAATTAAATATTCTTCAGGAAAGAAAATAAAATCTGACACTAATAAGTCATTCAGAGGGAGAAGGGGAAGGTGTCATCTTGACCTTTAAAAAAGAAAACTGTAAACATGTCTTTGGAAGTGTACATAATAACTAACGATTTAGACCTTTTCGGCATTTTTCCTGTGTTCTGTAAAATAAGATTTTGTTTGGAAAAATTCCCAGAAATGTTGCAGGCAAGCAATTGCCCACATAGTGCTGACCTGGTAGTTGTGCTGCCAGAGAAATACAACTAGCAATTATCAACTTTTCTTCTGTTCTTTTGTATGTCTAAACATCCATGTCTGTACTCTATAAATACATCGGAAAAGATGTGCCCGTATAAACAAAATCAGCAGTTTGTTAGAAGCGAGGCGCAGAGCCGAATGATTTGAAGCTTTTTTTTTTTTTTCTTGGTATGCTTTATGTTGTTTAAACATTAATGGTGTTTTTATTTTGTTTATTCTTTTGCAGGTAAAATCAGAAAGAGAAAGCCTGGGAATATAGTTCAGAGCATGTGCTTAGCGTGTTCAGGGCTCTCGTATCATTCCCTAGCCCCCAAACAAATAAGTAATCAGTGGATAGATAAAATTAAAAACAGTGTAAGGGAATTCTAAAGTGTAGCTTCTTGAGGCTGGAGAGATGGCTCAGTGGTCAAGAGCATGCAGTGGACGTGTGTTCTGTCACCCCCATGGTGGCTCACAACTGTCCATAACTGCTTTTCCAGGAGATCTGTCACCTTCTGACCACCATGAGAACCAGGCATGCAGGTGGTACACATACATATATGCAGGCAAGACATGCACACACATAAATAAATCTTAGAAAAAGTTGTTTCTTTTTCTAACCTTTTCTGAAGTATGTGTGTGTTCTATGTGTGTGTGTGCACACACAGGGAATTGAACCTACGGTTCAATTTATCCTGGCACAGATTTTAATGTTTGGCTAACCCACAGCAATACTGTTTCAATTATTTTGACTTTAAAGCAGGTTTTTAAAAACTAAAAGAGCTGACAATTTTATTTTCACATTTTATAATGCAAGTGAAGCTGCACTTTTTTATCCCACTTATCCTTTCAGAACTGTTTTCTTTGCTAGGAAGGGGGAAGTCTTTTTTATCATGCAACTAGAAAGCACTCAGACTCAGCACTAAGGTCTCCTGGTGAAACACAAGTAGTACATAACCAGTCTGTCTACTTGGGTCATGCCAGTCCCAGTGGGTACTGTCATGGTGCTAATGGGAGGTCTCATAATTGGTGGCCTGGGCATCATGGCCATGTGGTTTCCCATGTTTGGCCTTATTCCAGGATCCAGTCCTCTGGGCATCATCTCAGGAAGAGGAGGACTATCATTGGCATCATGGGAGGGCCTGTCATGTGGGTGTGGGCACCAAAGCAGGGCGAGGAGGACCAGAGGCTGGGAGAAAGCAGGACCATGGTCTCTGCAGAAGGAGAAACAGAAAATGGAGCTGGGTGTATCTTTTGTTGTTGAAATGCAGCTGTTTTGTCAGTCAGGCTCTTGGCCTGCTCTTTCATTGTTTCTTGTAGTAGTCTTTCATGTTTTCTTAGTGTTTTCTACTACCGTAGTGTGTCTTTTTCATAGATGGAGAATCATGGCTAGATATATATTTGTGGTGGTTTGAATAAGAGTGAGCCATAGGCTCATCCATTTGAATGCTTGGTCACCAGGGAGAGGCAGGCATTATTTGAAAGGATTAGGAGGTGTGGCCGTGTTGGAGGAAGTGTGCAGTGGGTTTCAAGTGAGGTTTCAAAAGTCCATGCAAAGCTTAGCATCTCTTTCTTGGCCAGCAGATCAGTATTAGCTCTCAATTATTCGTCCCGCACAATTTCTGCTTGTGTGCCACCATGATGATAGTGTACTAAACCTCAGACACTGTAAGCAAGCCCCCAGTTAAGTGCTTTCTTTTCTAAGAGTTGCCCTGGTCAAGCTGTCTTTTCAAAGCAGAACACTGACTAAGACAGTATTGCAGTACTCACATCAAAACTGGGGTATGTTGCTCTACATAGGAAATGATTAAAACAAAGTTTTTAAAAGTGGAAATGTACACTTGATTAGAAACAAGCAATATATGTCTAACATATAATAACACTTTAAGGAATATTTATTATTTTTATTTGCATGAGTATATGTATGTATATGTTGAGTATGGTGGATATGCGTGTACATTGGTGTGTGGGTAGTGTATCCCTGTGCTCGCTTGGAGATCAAACGATGATATGGGTCCTGCTCTGCCACTCTCTAACCCTGGTGCTGGGTGATAGCAAGCAAGCCTAATCAATCCTTGTCTCCACTTCCTGCAGCACTAGAGTTAGAGGTACATATGTGGCCATGCCCAACTTTTTACTAGGAGCTGAACTCGGGTCCTCATGTTTGTATAAAGCAAGTGTTCCTACCCATTGATCCAACCTCTCAGCCCTAAATATAAATATTTTAGAAATATTAATGTATTTGACATATATTCTGAATTACTGAACTATTAGTTTTCAACTCTTGAAGTTGATTTTAATTTCTTCCAGCCTCAAGATATAGCAGAAATGAAATATTGCTTTATGGTTTTGTTGATCTTGGGAATGACTGCTATGATCTGTGAAATTTTTTGTCATTAGGATTTTAAAATTTACATTGATTTATATATATTGTGTGTGTATATGTGAGAAAGATAGAGAGAGCAAGGCCAGTTTTGGGTGTCTTCCTCAGTCATCCTCTACCTGATGTTTTGCAGTGAGGCCTCCCCCTGAATGGGGCTCCCAGGTTAGCTGGGCTGTTTTACTAGGTAGCCCGTGTCTCTGCCTCCTCAGTACTGGGTTACAGTGGTGTACCTCCACACCCAGCCTTTATGTGGCTGCTGGAAGCCCAAACTCATGCCCACATGTTTGCAGGGCAGGCACTTGACTGGCGCGTCATCGCACCAGCCTATCTCAAAGTTTGGAAGGGACTTGATGGTGCAGAGGGAGTCTTTTCATGCCTCATTGCTAGTGCTTTTCACTTCTGAACCTTCTTAGTCCCTCATTTAATTTATTCATGTTGTACATTTCTATAACTGGTGTCTTTTCAGTTATTTATGTCTGAAAAAAATAAAAGTGGTATTTCAGTTTTATTTTTTATAAAATTATAAGTATCAATGAAATTTTTATCCCAAATCCTACCCTGAAGGGCAGACTGTTCAAACTTGTAGATTTGAACACTACCTTAAATATTATGTTTTCTTTCTTTTTTCCTTCCTTTTGAGAATTTCATACATGAATACTGTTTTACATCATTTCCACGTCTCCCTCTCCCTACTCCAATTCATCCTGTTTCCCCAATTCCCTTTCATATTCATGACCTCTTCTTGTTTAACTGTTACTACTGCATGTGTTCTTTCTTTATAGGTGTGAGAGTTGTGTGGATTTACTGTTTGTAAGAGGAGCTGGGAACTGTCCTGAGTGTGGCACTCCACTGAGAAAGAGCAACTTCAGGGTGCAGCTCTTTGAAGATCCCACTGTTGACAAGGAGGTTGAGATTCGGAAAAAAGTACTAAAGATGTAAGTGCTATTTTTAAGGGATTTGGCCAGCAAAGAAAACCTCAACAGTTATTTCAATAGTCATGATTATTATTATTGTTTTCTTATGTTATTTTTGAACAAATTGGCAAATAACAAGTTATAAAACCGTCTATATTCTTATTTTACAAAATTTATTAAGTTTATAGAAAAGTGTAGTATCTAACCTTTGTTTAAGAAGAGCCTTCTTGATGTTGTCTGCGTATTCATTTGCTACTTATTAGTTAACAAATAAATACCTGTGTTATATATATTAACAGGGATTAATAAATAATGTATAAAATAGCTATAAACCTTGTTTTCCTGGCTTACTAATAAAGTAACATAGGATATTAAAGACATAGAAAATAAAAGAACAAACAAAATAAATTTTCTGTAAGGACTAAAGAAATCATATTTACGTTTCAGTTTGAAGCATAATTAGATACACTAAAATATTAACTATTTTTTTGTATGCATGTGTTGCATTTAGTAGTTTTGAGCTTTATTTTATCTGTCCTTTTGTTATAAGATACTTTATTATTTTAGAGTTGATACATTTTCTTAAGGTTTTGTTTTGTGGTTTGGTCTTGGGAGTTTGAACCCAATGCCTTGAGTACTTTAAGCATTTGCTGTCTCTGAGCCACCCATCTCACCCTTACTTCATGTCTTAATTTTTAAAAAATGGCTTATTTTGTTTTTTAACTTATCTGTATTGTGAGTGTGTCTGTGTGTGGGTTTGTACAAATGAGTGCTGGTATTCTGGGAGCCAGAGGTGTTGGTGTTGGACCCGCCAGGAGCGGGAGTAACAGGCAGTTCTGAACTCCCAGGGGCAGGGGCTGGACACTGCTCTCTGCAAGAGTAGTACAGGTTCTCTCTCTTCTCTTTTTCTTTTTCATGTCATTAGTCTATTTCTAATCTTATCTAGTATAAGAGTTCAAGAGTTTAATCTACTTTTCAGAGATCACACCTCTTAAACATTCTTCCTATCTGCTAAATTGATGAATTAAACATTCTTGTTTCTTAAGTAGTAGGTTCCTTACTATAAAAGAAAGTACAGCAAATTCAGATCTAAAGCACAAAGTCCTCATAGCCAACAGCCGCCACTTGTTTTCTATTGAAAGTGGCAAATTCTTCCCCGGGGCCCTCCTCTTGGTGCCTAGGATGGATCACGGAGGTGGTGGGCCTCCCATGCTCTGGCCAACATGGTGCCGCTAGAAGTTCTGTAGGGGCGAAGAGAAGGAAGGCGGGAGAAATGGTTTTCCTCATGAGCTTGCTATCCTGAGGGTAATACAGGCTTTTAACCACTGAGCTATCTCCCTACCCCTTGCAGTTCTTATTTTGGGGGTATACATTTTACTAATGGTTTAGTAACATTTTCCTAGGTTCTGAATCAGTAATACATTATCAGTGACCCAGCTGACTTTTTTCTTTATTTTTGCTTGTATTACTTCAAAGAGTCATCTTTTACATTCTGATATTTTATCTTTAACCTTTTTAGTTATATTATTATTTGTTACTTTTTATTTTGTTATTTTTATTTTTGTTATTATTTGTAGGCACATTACAATATTTACATATTTTTGTGATGTAGCCTCCCTACCCCCCAAACCCCCACACAGAGCTTCTCTGTGTAATCCTGCCTGTCCTGGAATTTGCTCTGTAGACTAGGCTAGATTCGAACTCAGAGATCTGCCTGCCTCTGCCTCCCAAGTGCTGGGATTAAAGGTGTGTATCTCCACTAGCTGGCAGACCTAAAGTTTTAAGTCATTATTGTCATGAAAAAAAAAAAAATCTTTTTTTCAATTGAGCTTTAGTTTTCTGTAATTAACGGCTCTATAATAAATAAGTAATATAATTTCAGTGATATATCTTCTTTAAGTTCATTTCTAAATCCCCCAAACACCTACGTATATCCCCCTTTTTTTTTTTAAGTCTTTTAAAAATTGTGTATATGATACTATTCTCTTCTAATTTTACATTTTCTCTGTAATCATAAGAATTTTAAGAACAGTGTTTTTGGGTTGCATGCATAGCTCAGCAGTAGAACACATGCCTTTTGTGAACAAAAATCAACCTTCCACTCCCCTCAAAAGAATCAGAAAAACAAAACAAAACGAACTTAAACAACAACAATAAACAAAACGAAACAAAAAAACCCTGCAAACCCAGCTTTCATTTTTGGTCTAGTTAAAAGCCTGCCCTCAAGAAAACAATTCTTTGCCCAGTAAACAGTCCTTTTCTATACACCATGTATGAATTAAGTAGGGATGAGCAAGCTGCTTGTGATAAGATGGTCTACAGTGATATGCAATGCGTTGATATTTTTCTTCTCTGCAGATACAATAAAAGGGAAGAAGATTTTCCTAGTCTGAGAGAGTATAATGATTTTCTGGAAGAAGTGGAGGAAATCGGTATGTTTTAATTTGATGTGCTAGCCTTGAGAGCTTGTGCTCTTATCTTTTAGATGCCTGAACAGTGTCTCACACAAAAGGCTCCTGAAGGATTCTGTTGTGGTAGTGGTAGCTGATGTTTACAGGTTTCTTTTTTTTTTTTTTTTTTTTTGCAATTGAATTATGTTTGTCAACTTTAAATCATGCTAACTAAAGAGTATTCTTTTTGGTTTTTGAGACAGGGTTTCTCTGTGTAACAAGCCCTGTTGTCCTGGAGTAGCTTTGTAGATGAGGCTGGCCTTGACCTCACAGAAACAAAAACAAAACAAAACAAAACAAAAAAACCCCGAAAACCCTGCCTGAGACCGCCTGACTCTGCCTTCTGAGTACAGGGATTACAGGCTTGCACCACACCGGGCCACTAAAGGGTATTTTTAAGTAATTTTATCCTGGAGAAACTGTGTCGAGTAGCACTTCTTAGCTGGACGAATGATGTGTCCATACTTTGCCAAAGCAGTTTAAGCCACAGGAACTGCTGATGACATTGTAGGAGTTCCTTTAGCTCCATCTAGGACAACGGAAGACAGACTGTGTATTATCATTTATGCCTGTGTAACACTGGGTTGGGAGGGGTTTGAAGCAGTTGACTGTTGAGGAGAATTTTACCCGGCAGTGTTGCCGAGACATAGTGCTTCTCTTCAGTGGGATTAGTCACGAAAGTACACTGTTTCTGTTTGCTTTCCTCTCTTTCAGTATTGGGTTAGGGATTGCTGCTTGTCTTGTTTTTTGCTAAAGAAAATTTCAAAACTGTTAAAAGGTGTGAAAATTGTGATGTAGTGATGCAAAGTTATGCTCTCTAAAGCTGTGATAGTTAGAGCAGGATGCTTGCCAGTAAGCGCAAAGACTCGAGCTCCTTCCCACAGTGTAAGAAGAGCACCAACTCCCCATGTTATCCTCTGACCACCGCATGTGTGCACTAAATACATAACTGCACAGCACACATTGAACAGGTAAATATGAAACGAAACTTAATGTACAGACCACAGAGCACATCTCCTGAAGTGATAAAAAGGTATAGCCTAAGAAAATTAGACTGAATCTGTGAGGATCAAAGAGTCATCTTTTTATTCTCCCAAAGCATAACTTTATTATTTAAATATGCTAAAAGGATCACCAGAAGGTTTTTATATATGGCAAATTAAAAACTTCAAATTCTTTAGGAACTAATTATTTTAACAATTCAAATCTGTAATACTAGGATTAAATTTTTTAAAAATTCCTTCTGATGAAGTCCAGATATCTCTCTTATCAGGACTTTCTAAAGTGCCCAAGTTACCTGGTATGTCACAGTAGAAGCATGTGCAGAGCATAATTAAAATTTTTTTCTGATATAGTTTAGTACTTTAGAACTGATGTTTTTCATTCTAATTCATTTGTGCTTTGTGTGTATGTCAGCTACAATGAGTACCTATGCTTGGCTAAGAAGGTGGTAGGTTTGTGAATGCTGATGCAAACAGACATTAGGATATAGATTGAGAAGATGCTTTGGTACAGGACAAGCAGGGGAACAGCATCACAAAGAGACAGTGTGCATATATATGAAAGGCAGTACATTAGTCAAAGCCCTGCTCATTCGGAAAGGCAAAAAGAGGGTGTAGCGCCTACAGGCAAGTTGAAAACACTGTTACAGCTCCAACCAAGTATCCTAGGTAGCTGAAGGAAATGGAAAGACAAACTGGAGACCAGGCTTAAGGGATGAAACAACAGGGGACCTTGATTTTTCATGAGGTTCTGGTTGAGCCTGATTACGTACTTTTTTCCTGTGAGATGAACTAATTTGAAAGAATTGTCAACCTGGGGCCCATATGTAAAACCAGGGTCATGTTGGAAATTGGCACAAGGATTAACAGGACAGAGTAAGCTTGGATTGTACTAGACAACATGTAATTTTTTTTTTTTTTTTCCTTTTCTTCGTGATGGAGTCTTACTACGTGGCCTCGGATGTTCTGATAACTGTTATGTAGGTCAAGTTGGCTTTGAGCCTGCAAAGAGTTTTCCTGCCTCTGCTTCCGAGAGTTGAGATGACAGGCATGCACCATCATACCTGGCCTATATTTTTTTTCTCTCTGTGACTGTATGTTGGTACGTACACCCATGCCTGTGCGTATTGAGGCCAGAGGTCAGTGTTGGATGTCTCTGTCATTCTCCACTTTATTTCTTGAGACAGGGTTTCTTGCTGAATGTGAAGCTCACCTATTGGCTAGATTGGCTGGTGAACAAATCCCTGGACTTTTCCTGTCTCTCAACCCCAGTTCTGGGGTTACAGGTATATCCTGCCATGCCTTGCTTTTTATGTGGGTGCTGGGGATCCAAACTTGGGTCCCTATGCTTGAATAGCAAGCACTTCACTCAGTGAGCCATTATTACTTCACCAGATATAGAAACTATGGATAGATCAGTGCATTTGACTTGAAAATGATTATGCTACTATAGATATTTCATGAAAGCCTGTCTTTAAAATATGTAGACATTCTGAACCAATGTCTAGTTAGTTGTCTCATTGGAGGAACTGATATTTTCCCGTCCTTCTGTAGACTGTGCTGACTCATGCCAAAGCATGGTGGTGCATGGGAAATGCTTTGTGTTAAAAGCTGTCCTCAGGACAGGAACTCCACAGGAGAGCAACAGAACAAGAAAATTTGAATACAGGGAACTTCCCAGAGACTCATACTCCAACCAAGGACTATCCGTGGAGATAACCTAGAACCCTGACAATGCAGCCACTTCTGATGAGAACTGATAGACTAAGATCAGAAAGAAGGAGAGGAGGACCTCCCCTATCAGTGGACTTGGGGAGGGGCATGCATGCAGAAAGGGGGGGAAGGGTGGGACCGGGAGGGGAGGAGGGAGGGACTTATATAGGGATACAAAATGAATAAAGTGTAATTAATAAAAGTTAAAAAAATGGAAACAAAACAAAACAAAACAAAGCTGTCCTCAAGTACATCTCTATTCTGCTCTCCAGTGTTATATACCATTAATTATTTGTACCAGTGATCAAGCTTTCTTAGGCCAATTGTGCTTATTATTTAATGCAATTTAGTTCAAAATTATATAACTATGCTTTTGCTTCCCCTAAAAAATGGAAATAGCACTGTAGGTGGTAGTTATGATTTATATAAGAAAGAAGAACTCCAATTAAAGTCTTGGATTTATTCACTTAGAGAATGACTGCTTGTATTAGTTACTTTTCTATTGCTGAGATGACACACGACAACCAAGGCAAACTTACAAAAGATAGAGTTTAATTGGGCGTATAGTTCCAGAGGGTTAGAGTCTATGATGGTAGAGTGAAGGCATGAAGGGAGGAGCAGTAGCCAAGAGCTTATATCGTGATCTATACACAGGAGACAGAGCACACTGGAAAGACTCGAATCTTTTGAACCTTAAAGCCTGCCCCCAGTGACTCACCTCCAACAAGGGCACACTTCCTAATCCTTCCCAAACAGTTCCACCAATTGGGGACCAAGTACTCAAACATATGACTATGAGGGCCGTTCTTACTCAAACTTCCAAACTGCTATATTAGTCAGGGTTCCCTAGAGGAACAGAATTAAAAGAATGAAAACTATATTAAGTTATCATACATATAATATAATTAAATTAGCATTCCTTGAAATAGTAACAATAGCTGCTTCACATCTGAGGTGCAGCAAAACCCATAGTTGCTTGGTCCTTGAGACCAACAGTCTTCCACAGTCAGAGTCCCACAATGGCTGCCTTCCTTAGGAGAAGCTGATAACTCAGGTGTTACACAGTATATAAGGCTGTGTGCCTCAGCAGTCCCAGTTTGGTGCAAAGACCTAGCAGGTTGTTGGAGAGTCACAGTTCTTCAGTCAGTGACAGGAGCCTGGGAATGATCGCTCTGCTATGAACAAAGGAATTGCCATCCCTAGCAGCAACGTGGTAAATGCACTTGGTCGTAAGAGGGAGGCCAAGAAAGCAAACTGTGAGTAATCTTCCTCCTGCCATGTCTCTTTTTCATCTGGGCCACCCGCATTTGGGGTGGTCTTTCCACTTCTCTTCAGGGAATGAATACAGCTCCTCAGGTGAGGCTCCTTGTGCAGATGTTTCCACTTGGTGGCAAGCTGACATTAAAACCAACTGTCAGAGCTGTATATTTATGCTATGTGTTTTTCAGTTAAAATAACCTAGAGGGAGGAGGTAAGGAGGAAAGCAGAGGAGCAGAGAGGGAAAAAGAAGAGGGAGGAGATGAGAGGATTGATCAAATTAAAAGGCTTCACCAGAGCAAAGGAGACAAACAGAAGAAAAGAAGAGGAGAAAACAGTTGCAAACCACAAAGCCACCATTAACTCCTGTGTCAGTTCAACTTCTACTGCTGTGATAAAATACCATGGCCTAGGTAACATTTAGTAGAAAGACTTTATTTTGGTTTACTATCCCAGAGGGATAAGAATCCATCACCATCATGGGAAGGAAGCATGACAGCAAACAGCAGACATGGTGGCTTGAGAAAGAAGGTGAGGACTCACATCTTGGAACAGAGGGAACATACATTGTTCAGAATAGCAAGAGTCTTTAAACTCTCAAAGCCTGCTTCCAGTGATGTACTTCCTCCAACAAAGCTACATCCTCCAAGCTTCCCAAACAGCACCACCAAATGGGACCAAGCTTTCAAATGTCTGAGGCTATGGGGACATATTCAAATCAATACATCTCTGAAATTTACAAGAACCTTTAACAACTCAATAGCAAGAATGCAAATAACCTTGTTAACAAGTAGATATTTCTAAAAAAAAAAAACACAAAACCATATTAATACGTATATGCAACAATCCTCAATATTGCTAATTATTGGGGAAATGCAAATTACAATCACAATTAGATACCATTTGCTAAATGGTCCCACTACAAAAAAAGAGCATGTGGTGTGATAGGTTTCTTAATCAGCTTACTGTAGTAATTCCACATGTGTACATATACCAGACATCATCGTGTATCCAATATATACATACAGTTACTGTTTTTAAAAAGGTTGGAGAGATGGCTTAGTTCTTAAAAGCACGGCTGCTCTTCAGAGGACCTAGTTTGCTTCCTAGCATACAGATGGTATCACAGAGCTGTCTGTAACTCTGATCCCAGGAGGTCTGAAGCCCTCTTCTGTCCGAGGGCACCAGGCAGGCATGTAGGCAAAACACCCACACTAATAAAATAAACACGTAAATACAAATTTTTCAAAAGGTAAATATGAAATGAGATGCTGTGTCAACTTGGCTGTCGGAAAGATTGCGTCTGTGGCCTGTAGGAAGCCAGTGAGGTTTTTAAGGGACCGTTGTAGTAGTATGGATAAGAATGAGGAAATAGACTAGACAGTAGTGGTGGGCAAAGTAAAGACATTTTAGAATATTCACTCACCGATTTGACATTGGAAGTGATTTGGAATGAATAGACAGATGACTTGAAATATGACCTTGAACATTTCAGTTCAATGGTGTTAAGATATGCAAATGAAGGGCTGGGAGAGTTGGCAAAGTGCTCGCTCTGCAAGCATGAGGACCTGAATTCAGCCTCTAGGACCCAGGTGAAAAGGTCAGCTGCGCTGCCTGTGCTTATGATCCCAGCACTGAGGAGGCTGAGACAGATTCACAGGGCTTGAGCCAGAGAGCCTAACCTACGTGGCACATTCTAGGCCTTGTCTCAATAAACAGGGTGAATTTTGGGTGGTGATGGCACATTCAAGAGGCAGAGGCAGGTAAATCTCTACTAGTTCGAGGCCACCCTAGTCTAGAGAACAAGTATAAAACAGCCAGGGCTATACAGAGAAACCTCTCTGTTTCGGGGAGGAAAAAAGAAACAAGGTTGATGGCCCTCATGAAAACTGACTCCTAAGGTTGACCTCTGTCCTCCCCAGCAAAAGGTAATGCATGTTGTAGAGTTATGGTTTTTTTGTTGTCGCTTGTTTGTTTTTTTGATTGTTTTGTTTTGGTACATGGGGAGTATCCAGGATTGAGGGTTTGGATAAAGACTTAGTTTAGGCTTTTAAACTGTTGGGTGTGGTTCTACCACTTTGTTGTGTGGCAATGTTCTGATTGTTATTGTAGAAATAAAATATTCTTTCAAAATCTTGTTTCTGTAACTGTCTACCTTATGCCTTATTTGTCCTTTCAGAGATACTTAAATTTCCTTGCTATCTGTATTGACTTTCTCTGTTATTCAAAAGAAGAAAATGTTAACTTAATAGACACGTACTGATTACCAGAGTGAGCTGCAAGCACACTGTAATTTTCAACATTCTAAAAGAGACAGGCATTTTATGGCATTGTATGTGGAGAACAAATACAAAGAGCTCAAGCATTGTGCACAAGTTCATATTGCTCGTAAATAGTGGCTGTGTAGACTTTTCCCCTCAGTGCTTTGAAAATACATGGTAGGTCTAATGAGTAGTTAGCAGTCTATGTCTAGAATATGGGGTACTGAGAAATAGAGATGAGAGAGGAGCTTGTAGGTTTGGCCTGGTGTGGTAGTGTATGCATGCAATTCTAGTATCCAAATGACAGGCAAGATGTCTATAAGTTACTGGCTAGCCTTGGTTGCAAAGAAAAACCTGTCATAAAACAAACAACAAATCAAAATGACCTCACACCAACTAACTAGCCCATCACCAAGAAGGAAGTTTTCTAGAGCTGTGTTTTGACCGATGTAAAAGCTTTGACTTTGCTTGTGTAGTAGAAGTGTAGCATTAACGACATTTAAAATAGACAGTGAGAGGCTTAGAGATAGGAGGGTAGCTCAGGTTAGTGTTGAGGAGTCACAAAATGGAGATGAAGACATTTTGTTATATAAATGTCATTAAGGCTTTCTTGAATAGCCCACATATAAAAATTAAAATATGCAATTTTGAATAATGATATAAAAACTCACTATAGAAGGTACACATGAAGATGGACTTTCTTGTGGAATTACAACAGGCCCTTCTCTGTAGGGGTGACATAGAACTTTTTGTTCCTCTTGGCCCCAGGGATCATCTCAAACATTTGTTCTTAGCTTCATAATAAATAGATTAGTCTTTGAGTTCAGAGAATACTTATTTTAAAAGGATGAGAAAGCCCAAAGGGCATTAATTGTAAATTCCGAATGCCAAAAGACTTTAAAATTGTACTTAAATAGCATTAAATCTTCCAGAAAATATAATAGGTTTTTTTGTTTGCTTTTAATTTTTGATTAGAGTCAGGTCAGTAGCTGAGCTATAGCAGCAGACAGATAGAGCGTCCAGTGACTGTTACAGGGCTTGCTTCTGCCCCTTCTCTGAGGCTCTCATACATCCCGATTCACTGTGTCATGAATAAGCTTCCTTCATCTAAAAAGTTTTTGTGTTAGTGATTCAATTTTATGATCCTTATTTTTGAGAGAAAGAGGTTGTATTATCTGATCATGACTTATCTTTATTATATTGCTAACACCTTTATTTTTTTAAGTGAAAAATGAAACAGTATTTTTTTTTTTGCTTTTATTGGGATTTCTCATGAGATTTGTAATAACAAATGAAAATAATTTCACTTAGAATTGAAGTTTACTTAATTTTTTTGATTGTATTTAACAATAAGAATAAATCAATAATAAACAGAACTATTCTAGTAGGTCTAACAATACCATGTACACTGAAAAAATTACAGAGGGTAGAGAGTGGACAAGTAGAAGAGACTGGTAAGCAGTAATGTATCATTGGCATTTGCAGAAGGAGAATTGTCATTGCGGAGTGAGGTGAAGGAAGAGCTGGTGATTAAGATGGAGATAGTAAGGGGCTCAGATCTCGATATGGACAGAGTTTTTTCTCTGGGGGTAGATTGAAAAGCTTAAGTCTTAGGGATGTAGAGCGTGTATAGGTATGTCAAAATGCTCAGCTGGGCAAGCATTTGTTGTTGATAAAAGTTCAGGTTTTCGAATTTACTTATATTAAAGTCCTGGTCCCAATGATTGCTAACCATATACCATGGCTAAGCTATTTGTTAGCTTTAGACCACATCTGGGACTGAGAGCAGTAAAGGTACTGCTGTAAACCTGATGACCCATGTTCCACTCCAGAAACCACAGGATGGAAGGAGATAAGTGACACTCACAAGTTATCCTCTGACCATCACATACATTCTGTGGAACACACACACACACACACACACACACACACACACACACACACCATTTAATAAATAAATAAATAAATAAATAAATAAATAAACAAACAAACAAACAAACAAACAAACACAATCCTCTATCTGCCATGTATGGATTAGGCTAAGTAAGATTATTAGATAAGAGACTGTATTACATAGATGTTTACAGTATAGGTCAGTTAGTCTTGATTTGTTTTTATTAATTTTAAGTTTGTATGGGTGTCTGTGTGTGTCCCCTCATGTGTACACGTAAGTGCTGGTGTCAATAGAGGGCAGAGATTAGCAGATACTCCTGGATCTGGGGTTAAAGGTAGTCATGAATGACCCAATAAGAGAGATGATTAAAAGACACAAATACAACCATGACGACTGTTAATTCAATGAGTAAGAAGTCAAAATACTTAATCTTTGGCTTTTATAATCACCTTAAGATTTATATTAAAACCATTTCATGACATTGTTTCCTTTCTGTTACAGTCTTCAACTTGACCAACAATGTGGATTTGGAGAACACTAAAAAGAAAATGGAAATATATCAAAAGGAAAACAAAGATGTCATTCAGAAAAATAAGTTAAAGCTGGTTGGTTGTCAAGAATTTCCTTCTTTTGTATGCGTAACAAAAGGTTCACATAATATTTAAAATGATTTTATTAGTTCTTTGAGTATTTCGTACAATGTGTTCCAGTTATATTCACTCTCACTCTTTTCAGTCTTCCTCAATTTACCCCTTTCTGCCCTACATCTTAGTGCCCTTTAAAAAACATCTTTCAAAAGAAATTTGTGCTGCTCAAATATTCGTGTATGTATGGTCTTCCACTGGAGAGTGGTTGACTTACTAGGAGCTATTTTTCTCTTAGAGAAAAGTTCTTTGTTCCTCTCCCAGCAGCTATTGATTTCCAGTAGCTCCATGGCTAGGGGTGGGACTGTATGACCAACTTTCTCTCCATGTGGTCTGGCTTGGACAGGTTTTGCGCATGTTGTTGAAATTGCTATGAGGTCATCTGTGCAGCTACTCTGATGCTTCCTGATAGTCATCTACTGCCCCAGGCTCTTAGCCTCTTCTCCGTTGATCCCTCAGCCTTGGGAGGGCTGTGCAGTTCCCTTTAGGACTGAGCATTCTGCAGTTTCCTAGTTTCTGCACCTTGGCCAGTTGTGGATCACTGTTAATTACTATCTACTGCAAAGAGAAGTTTCTCAAGTTAGGGTTGATAGAAGCATTTAATCTTTGAGCATAACACTAAGTCATTAAGAGATGGTTTAGCAGTATATCTGTTTAGTCACGTAATAGTAGTAGATTCTCTCTAGGCCTATTACCTGTCTAGCCACAAGTTAAACTGTGGTGCCAAGTATGAATTTCATCCCGTGGAAAAAGTAGTTGGTCACTTTCATGAGGTCTGTGCCACTGTTACACCAGTGGGTATTCTGTCTAGAACAGTTGTAGCTCACAGAGTTCACAGCAGAGTAAGACTGATGATTACTTTTCTCTTCTGGTAGCATCCATAGCACCTCCGGCACCATGAAAGCTGGATATAGGGATAAAGGTTGTAGTTCCAAGCTGGCCTGAATTTTACCAGGTTATGGGACTCAAGTATGTTTCTTTTCACTATCAAATTCTAGTAGATAACCAGGAGTATTGATAATAGCCTCTGATGTTTGGATGTTTATGGGACCTCACTGGCTAATAATTCCAAAAGAAATAACTCATGCCTGGCATTGGGCTTTTTAAAAATTTGTTAACCTCTCAAGTTTATTAGGGACATTATTGACTGTTATAGCATAACTTAATTTTAACTTTGTGTATGTCTATTTTATATTTTAGAAAGTTTCTGTAGTAGTAGGTTTTTGAAAGGTCTTTAGTGTTATTTATTCCTCTCCATTATACCTTCTTTATCCTCCCATCTGCTCCCAGTTTAACCATTCCTATTCCATTATTCCCCTTTGATCCTTTATGCCAGAGCAGTCTCAGTCGTTACCCTTGGAAGGCCCTCCCTGTGGTCCCTTAGCAATGTACTGACTTTTGTGGCATTACAAATGAAACATACATCTGAAGATTCAAAGCTAACATCCACAGAGGAGAGATAACATGACATCTTTCTAGGCTTGGAGTACCTCACTCAAAATGATTGTTTCTAGCTTCAACCATTTACCTACAAATTTTATCTGTCTTTTGGTCTTGAGACAGAGTCTCTCTGTGTGGCCTGGGCTGTCCTGGAACTCTCTGTGAAGACCAGGCTGGCCTTAAGCTCTTACAGATCACCCGCCTCTGCCTTCTGAATGCTGGGATGAAAGGTTTGTGCCACTTAGCCTTGAACTAAGTTTTCGTTTTTTTTCTTTTTCCTAAGTTTTCTTAATAGTTGTAAATGTTTCTATATTTTCATTATCTGTTCATCTGGACATCTAGGCTGTTTCTATTTCCTGGCTATTGTAAATAGAGCAGAAATGATCATAGATTATCAGGTATCTTTCAAATAGATGTTGAGTCCTTTGAGTATAGACCCAAGAGGAGTAATAGCTGGATCCTTTGATGCAGCCCCTTATGAAAGTCAGTGTGGAGGTTTCATATAATACTTTTAAAAAACTATCCTCCTTTAAAACCAGTTATAGTTGCAAGGGATTTAACTGAAATTTATGTTAGAAATACAGCTGTACTGTTATAAATGCATGTATTTAGGAGGATATCCACAGTACTGTAGCAAAAAGCATTTTGACAGTATCACATTAAACTACACTTCTTTTTTTCTTAAGCGTAATGATTATTTAATTCTTTGGAAACTATGCCCATAAGTATTCTTTTATTCGTTATAGAATTTTTTGTCAGGGTTGTATTTTATTTTAATTTTTTTTTCATTGACAGATACATTTATTTTACTAACAGCAGTAGTACTAATTCTTCATCATTTTCTTTTTTTATATTAATTACAGTTTATTCACTTTGTATCCCAGCTGTAGCAGCCTGCCTATGTCCCTCCCAATCCTACTCTCCCTCCCTCATTTCCTCCCATGCCTCTCCCCCAGTCCACTGATAGGGGCAGCCCTCCTCCCCTTCAATCTGACCTTAGCCTATCAGGCCTCATCAGGACGGGCTGCATTGTCTTCCTTTGTGGCCTGGTAAAACTGCTCCCCTTCAAAGAGCCAGCCACTTCTCCCCTTACTAGGGAACTCACATGGAAACTGAGCTGCCTATGGGCTACATCTGCGCAGGGGGCCTAGAGCCTTTCCATTTATGGTCCTTGGTTGGTGCATCAGTCTCTGCAGGCCCTCTGTGCCCAGATATGTTGACTCTGTTGGTCTTCTTGTGGAGCTCCTGTCCCCTCTGAGTCCTTCTATCTCCCCAACTCTTCCATAAGACTTTCTGCCCTCTGCCCAGAGTTTGGCTGTGAGTCTCAGCATCTGCTTCAGTCTCCTGCTGGATGGAGTTTTCCAGAGGGACATCTATGATAGGCTCCTGTCCTGTTCACTGTCTTCAACCATGTCTGGTGTCTGTTCTATTTGCCCTTCTGAATGAGAATTAAGCATCTTCCCTAGGGTGTTTCTTATTACTTAGCTTCTTTAGGTCTGTGGATTGTAGAATTGGTAAAAATGGTTAGGAGAAATACAATACTTAGCAGCTGAGTTAAGGGGAATGAAAAAGAGAGTAAACTGAAAAGCTTTGAAAATGAGTTCACCTGTGGTGTGGGTTTGCTATCATCAGAACAGGGAAGACAGTGACCTTGTTTAATTTTGCACAGAAGGAGGTTATAGTGCAGGAGTGCAGCTCCTCTTTCTCCTTGAATTTGCCTAATACATGAACTGAAAAAGAAAATCTATGTTAAGTTCTACAAATTGAAGGACTTTAAGTTGTCTAAAATGATCACCCAACCCCACCCTCCACCCAGAATGAACTAGTTATTCCATTTCTGCTTCAGGGCTTAGTGTACTTGGTTTGGTGTTTGTCCTCTGGGGTGGTGTGTGCTCGCATGAAATAACTAGTATCCTAGTTTGTTCTGTATAGAATTGTTACATTATTAAAGTGAAGTGATTAATTTGCTCTTTGTTTCCAGTAAATAAAGCAGGAGAGTACTGCATGGGATTGCTATGGGTTGTCAATTCATTCCATTCCTTATGTAAATTTCTGCTTAGACTCGGGAACAGGAGGAACTGGAGGAAGCATTGGAGGTAGAACGACAAGAAAGTGAGCAACGAAGACTGTTTGTACAAAAGGAAGAGGAGCTGCAGCAGATCCTGAAAAGGAAGAACAAGCAGGCCTTTTTAGATGAGCTGGTCAGTGTGAATGCTAATTGCCACTTAGAAAGTAATTTTCCCATGTGTGTTGCTAAATAATGGCATTTAACAGAAGTTCCGAGTATTCCTAACGTAGTTGACTTTGTTTTTTTTCTAGTATATTAAAAGTTTTAAAATTTTTATTATTGTTGTGTTCAAGGATTGGGATGGGTTGTAGAGCATGTGCCTACCGTGATGTGTGTGTGTGGGTCAGAAACAATGTTGTTGGATTTGGTTCTCTTCTTCAGCCTTTTCCTGGGTTCTGAGCACTGAACTCAGGTATTTGGGCTTCCAAGGCAGGTCAGAGGCTTTATCTGCTGAGCAAATTTCACTTTTGCTTCTGATAGTTATTGATGTCATCATATATACTGGTGAATAGTAAGACCTATCTTCTCATTCCATATATTATTTATGTTTACAATTCTGTGAGTCAAGTGGGTGTGGTGGCACTCACCTTTAATCCTAGCACTCAGGAGGCAGAGGCAGAGGCAGGTGGATCTCTGAGTTTGAGGCCAGCCTGGTCTACAGAGTGAGTTCTAGGACAGCTAGGGCTACATAGTCAGACCCTATCTAAACAAAACAAAACAAACAACAATAACAAAAAAAACCACAATTCAAGCGGGGTTTTGAAACCCTGTCCTCTGGAGTGTCTCTGTGCTGCCCATGTGACTTCTGAAGTTGTGTAGTTGGACATCTTGTACAGTCCAGAGCTGCGGGAATATTCTAAGAGTAAAGAAGTAGACAATGTATAGTTTGAAGGTTTTGCTGCAAACTGGCATAAGCACACCTCCTGATCAGCGAAAGAAGCTGCTGCGTCTCTGGGGATAGGGTGTAGATTCTGCCCCTTTGTAGGTCAGTTTGACCACTTCTTCTATAGTATCAGCTCAAAAAATGTATGAGTTCATAGAATTTGGTGTAGTATATGTTAATTTGATACCCAGTTTCCACCCCAATGAGAGTTAAGAGATAGGATCATGACAGTGACTTTAATTATAATTTTTATTATTGTCACATGCTCCCCTTTATATCTTTCCAATTTCTATAAAGGATTTAAAGTGATTCATCCTAAGCTACGAAGATGCTTGTGGATATGACACATTTGTGGGCCTTAAAGAAGGCTGTCAAAGTGAAGCTCTGTTGTATTGCACTCCTGTCCTTCCCCTCCTCCTCCTCTCTTCCTCTTTCTTCCTCTGCTCCCACTACCCTCTCCCCTTTTCCTCTTCCTCCTTCCCCTTCTTAGTTTTTGTCTATCTTCATTTTCAGATGAGAGTAACATTATAATTGACATATATAAAAATAATACTCAATAGATTGCTTATGTGTCTATAAGCTTACTAAAACATTGTTTTCAGAGCATTTTCTCGTAATAGTTTCCCAACAAGCTAGTTTTGAATTCATTCATGATGTGCTGAAATATAGTGACTACATGTCATATTTTTGCCTGAAAAGTAACATAGTTGGGTGAAGTGGATTATTAGAATACTAATACCTTTGGCTCTGTATTCAACTTTGTTAACATAGCAGGAGTGACTGTGGGCAGAGAAATGGTTCGTGGACTTGATCCTTTATTATTTATACTTATTATAACCCTTTGTGATGCTGGTGACATCACAAGCTAGAAGATGTTTCTCTCTGGGAAAGTCTGCATTGTTACCTTTTCATTCTGCCTTCATATATTCATTTTTTATGAGGCATTTCTTCAGTATTGACATGCTTCCATTTCTTAATTGCTGTATTGTTATTCTATGTTGGAATAAATGTAAATGTATTTTCTGTTATGCCTTTCTTCAAAAAGCATTTTAAGCTAGTTAATGAATTACTCGTAAAATGAAAAGGAAGATTACATCTTAAATTAGAAGTAGGTAAGAAAATAAGGAAATTAGGAATGAAAGGATTAGTGAGGATTAGACAGAAAGCGCTTATCATAAATGCCTATCTAGGGCTGATGAAATGCTCTGGCAGGTAAAGGTGCTTGCTGCCAAGGCAGACAGCCTGAGTTCAAGCCTCGGAACCCACTTGGTGGAAGGAGAGAACTGACTATCACAAGTTGCCCTCTGACCTCCGTGTGTGTGCTCCATGGCACATGCACTCATACAAAATAGATAAAACTGTAGTTAAAAACCTCTCCCCACTTTCTGTGAATAGAATGTGAATTTGCCTCTCAACTCGAGCAGGCAGCATCTGAGCTGGAAGAATACCTCAGCTCTTCTCAAGCGCAGGCTCTCCATTAGTTCTTTGTAGCAGCTGGGCTTGCAAGACCTTTCAGGCCTCAGGAGCACTGAGCCTTGCTGTCTCACTGAGCTGCGGCCGCCATCAAGCTCCCCTCAAATGCAGTGAGGCAGGAAGTAAGACACTCTTGCCTGTGCTGTATATTGTGTGTGATCTGGAGTTAATACGGGTCCTGTGAGTTCCCTCCTCTTGCTTCCTGTTTTCTTCACCTGCAAATCATTACCGCACATAGTTTCCTCACTCTTTAAACCATGTAACGTGGTGCTTAAATAATTCTTAGTAATTCACTGTATTCGTTACTACAATTAATCAGTAGATAGTAGGTTAGAATACCGCTGCAGTTTGGTTTTTGACTTAAATTTTAAATTTGTTTTTATAGATTTTTTTTAATCTTTATTATTTTTTTGTTACTTTTAACCCTTGAGTAACTGAGTTAATTAAATTTTTCTTATCGTGATTGACCTGTACTAATGAAGTGAAAAAAATATATATTTCTGTGCTTTTGTGTTAAATTTTTATAAAAAAGGAAAGCTAGCATAGACATCTGTAAGTATGTCTAAAAGATTTAGCTTTTGAAATGTTCCCTGAACAACACTTATGCAAGGAGAACTAATTGGAATTTTTTTTTTTTCCTCTTGTTTTTGAGTTTGGTCTTTGTGCCCAAAGTCACTTTTGAACCTTCTGAGAAGCACTGGCAGCACATTATACTGTACGTGACAGGGTTTAATGTTACGGTCTGAAGGTTTATGGCTTAGCGTTTGCCATAATGTTGGCCGAAAGTCCATTTATTTTAATCCTAACTGTAAATTCAATTTCTTAATAGTTTGGAAAAAGATTTTTAATCAGGTTCTCTGTTATTAAATCTTTTTATATTCCTGTTTGAAAATTCTGTTCCATTTATGTCTTAAATTTTATGAGTTAATGCTGTTGTCAAATGCAGTAGCTGATTCTTATTAGGAATATTGTTTGCCAGATGGCTTGCTTAAAGTCAGTTAAAATAATCTTTAAAAATGGTCATTATAAAGCTTTTAATGAGTATTACAGGCACTCTTATTAAAATTTCTTTAAATATTAAGCAGTGTGCCTTTAGGCAATTACTATGGGCTCTGCAGCCTTCCAAGGTGGAATGCAATGCCCAGAACAGAGAAGTAACTCCAAAACTAGACCTGCATGCTCTGTATTCCCCAAGCTTGTTTCACAGGCTTGTTCTACTCCAGAGCTATGTTTATCATGAGAGCCTATGCTGAATTTTGTTTTAACACTCATAAAGGCATTCAAGGCTCCAAAATTTGAGTTCTAAAATAGAAGTGATAGTTTTAAAGTGTATTATGTGGCTTGATATTAAAGTGAAATACCTCGAATGCTTAGGTTTTACAAATTTTCAGTATTAAGACATGCAAGGGGCTGGAGAGATGGCTCAGAGGTTAAGAGCACTGGCTGTTCTTCCAAAGGTCCTGAGTTCAATTCCCAGCAACCACATGGTGACTCATAACCACCTATAATGTGATCTGGTGCCTTCTTCTGGCCTACAGACACACATGCAGGCAGAATACTGTATAAATAATAAATAAATATTAAAAAAAATGACATGCAAGCATTCAGGTTCTTTTACTGTGAATGAGATACTAGGATTATAGTAAACTGGTCTTGGTTAGCAACTTTCTTAAAAGTGAACACGTTTTGCTTTAATACATTAAAAAACCGTGTGTGTGAGAGAGAGAGAGACTCTGTGTTTGGGTTAGCTGCCTAATGTAAGTGCTGTGTTCCCTGAAAGAGCAGCAAGCACTCTTACCTGGTGAGCCATACTTCCCATCCCATTGTCTTGCTTTTATATATGGAATTTTGCTCTTTAGAATAAATAAATGTGAGTGTATCCGTGTATGGGTGTATGCATGTGAGTGCAGGTATTCTCAGAGGCCAAAGACTGGATGCCTTGGAGCTGGAGTTATAGGCAGTTTGAGAAGCCTGAAGTGGGTGCTGGGAACCAACATAAGTCCTTGGGCTAGTCATATAGTTCACTCTTTAAAGGCTAAGGCTTACACTTTTAAATGAGAGAGCAACAATCAAAAATGGGACCTCGCAAAACTGAAAAGCTTCTGTAAAGCAAAGGACACTGTCGTCAGAACAAAACAATGGCCTACAGACTGGGAAAGGATCTTCACCAACCCTATATCTGACAGAGGGCTAATATACAGATATATAAAGAACTCAAGAAGTTAAACAGCAACAAACCAAGTAATCCAATTAAAAAATGGGATACAGAGCTAAACAGAGAATTCTCAATAGAGGAATATCTAATGGCAGAGAAACACTTAAAGAAATGCTCAACGTCCTTAGGTTATCAGGAAAATGCAAATCAAAATGACCCTGAGATTTCACCTTACACCCATCAGAATGGCTAAGATCAAAAACTCAAATGACAGCACATGCTGGAGAGGATGTGGAGAAAGGGGAAACCTCCTCCATTGCTGGTGGGAATGTAAACTTGTACAACCAAGTTGGAAATCAATCTGGCTTTTTTCAGACAATTAGGAATAGTGCTTCCTCAAGTTTCAGCTATAGCACTCCTAGGCTTATATCCGAAAGATACTCAAGTATACAACAAGGACATTTGCTCAACCATGTTTGTAGCAGCTTTGTTTGTAATAGCCAGAATCTGGAAACAACCCAGATGTCCCCCATCTGAGGAATGTATACAGGAATTGTGGTACATTTACACAATGGAATACTACTCAGCAATTAAAAACAAGGAAATCATGGAATTTGCAGGCAAATGGTGGAAAGTAGAAAAGATCATCCTGAGTGGGGTGCACAAAGACACACGTGATATCTGCTCACTTATAAGTGGATATTAGACATATAATATAGGATAAACATAGTAAAATCTGTACACCTAAAGAAGTAAGCAAGAAGAAGGACCCTGGGTAAGATGATCAATCCTCATTCAGAAAGGCAAACAGGATGTATGTTGGAAGAGGAAGAAAACAGAGAACAGGACAGGAGCCCTCCACGGATGGCTTCTGAAAGACTCTACCCAGCAGGATATCAAAACAAATGCTGAAACTCATAGCCAAACTTTTGGCAGAGTGTAGGGAATCTTATGAAAGAAGGGGGAGATGAAAGACCTGGAGGGGACAGGAACTCCACAAGGAGACCAACAGAACCAAAAAAATCTGGGCACAGGGGTCTTTTCTGAGACTAATACTCTAACCAAGGACCATGCATGGAGATAACCTAAAACCCCTGCACACATATAGCCCATGGCAGCTCAGTGTACAAGTGGGTATCCTAGTAATGGGAACAGGGGCTGTCTCTGACATGAACTCAGTGGCTGGCTCTTTAATCCCCTCCCCCTGAGGGGGAAGCAGCCTTGCCAGGCCACAAAGGAAGACAATGCAGCCAGTACTGATGAGACCTGGGAACTAGGATCAGAGGAAGAGATGGAGGATCTCTCTTATCAGTGGACTTGGGGAGGGGATTGGGAGGAGAAGAGGGAGGGAGAGTGGTATTGGGAGGGGCCGCAGAGGGGGCTGCAGCTGGGATACAAAGTGAATAAACTCTAATTAATTAAAAAAAAATAAAATTAAAAAAAAAGTAAATGAAAACGTTTAGTTCTGAAAGTCAGGTCCTCTGGTTGAACCGCAAGTGCTTTTAACCACTGAGTCATCATCTCTCCAGCCCTTGATATAATTTTAAGACATTAATTAATATGTATGAATATGAGTACATGATGTGTGTGTTTGGACATTAATGTGGAGTTGGTTTATTCCTCTGTCTTTATATGTGTTTTCAGTATCAAACTCAGGTCTCCAGGTTTTTGGGCAAGCAGTCTTTCCTGCCCAATTATAGTTTAACTTTTTAGCCAAGAATATTTCTTTTTTTTCTTTTTGTAGTTTTGCACATGAAAAGGTTATTTAAAAAGATATTTTTGGCTATAGCTCATTTATATATAGCTCTTCTTTAATGTTACAGTTTTACAAAATTCCTAATGGAGATTTGAAATTGTTCCAGGAATGCACAACAATGCAGTACAAATGCTTTGTTGTGGAACATGAAATGAAAGGTATTGATGACTCTTCTAATATTGTTTCTTATTCATCTTTATTATTGCTAAACCCAGGTTTAGGATCTGTTTTATAAAGAAATTTGTGACCTTATATGTTTTAATTTTTGTGATACTGTTCTTGAAAAATTATGTTGTTATAATGTAATTTTGGTTTTGTTTTTTAAGACAGGATCTCATGTAGTCCAGGCTGGCCCTGAACTCACTGTGTAGCCAAGGCTGGCCTAGAACATCTAGTTTTTCCTACTACATATTAAAGTCTGTATTTCTATGCTCTGCTCTGTTATAAAAATCTTAATATTCTAGTGAAGGAGAGAAACAGCTCCTGCACTTTGTCCTTTCACTTTTGCACATGCTCTGTAACATGCGTAGACACCCATACACACATACACATACATGCACACATATACACACACATACAAATACACAGAATGGGAAAGAGAGAGAGAAAAAGAGAAAGAGGGGAGGGAGAGAGAAATGCAATTAAAATGCTTATGTTGGGGACAATGTTTTGCTTCTTCCTATACCTCTAAGTAAAGCAATGTAGCACATCTTTATAATTTAGCTGCTACATCTACTGAGCTGTGGGAGAAATTTTCCATGGCAGGGAAAAATGAAAGTATTCTTTTAAGTTCTCAAACAAACAAACAAACAAACAAAAAAAAAAACCCTGAGTCTTGATATTCATCTTTATTTTCTGTTGAATTGAGTTGCTTATTACTGCTTCTATGTTGAAATTTTAAAACATTTATTTTAAATGTGTTAGTCAGCCACATTTGTGCCTAAAAATTATTAATGGGTTCAATTTGGAAGACAAATGAGAATTTGTTGTAATGTTTTCTATTATGAGATGATAACCAGGGAGTTTCTCGAGGATTAAATGCTGGGTGACTGCTCTTCCTAATACTCAGTACTCACTCTCTGGTAGCTCTGGGGAGGGCACCTCAGTTTCAGATATGTTAGGCCCAGCACGGCATCACTGAGCTGCGTCCCTTTCTCTATTTTTTATTTTTAGATGACCTCAATAAGTTGCCCAGGCTGGCCTTGCGCTTTCTGGGTAGCCTTTCACACATAACTGTAGTGTAAGAAACAGAAGAATGGTGGGTTTTGTTTTGTTTTGGTTATTTTTTATCTTTGTGTCTACATACAGAATATATACTTTTGTATGGGAAGGGTGGATCCTTTCTCTGAATGTGTTTCTGGGTTCTTATTTACTGACAGCTCAGAAAGGTAAAAGCCTAGGTACCATTTAGTTTAAACATTAGTTTTACAGTACCTCAAACACGTAAGTGCTTCACATTCAACAGGATAAATACCAGTCTCTCTATTAGGATCATATTAGGATAAGTTATTTGCTGCTCAAAATAGGAGTATGTACAGATTTGTATAAATAAAGGTACTGGGTAGTATCAGTGTGTGATAGTAAACATTTTTTATTTTGTTACTTGATTAAAATGTGATTTAAAATGTAAAAATAAAGGATAAAATAAATAAGTTTGCATGTGGTGGTACTTACAATAGTTCCATTGTTCAAAACAGAACAAGGATTACTTGCAAACAGCCTTAGGTGAAATCTAATGGGAAACATTTCAAATGGCCTGAACTCTGAGTGAAAAGAATGTGTCTCAGATAAATCTCTGATCTGCTCTTTTTGTGATTAGCCTTTCTTTAATAAATGAGTTGGTGGCTAGATGAAATAGGACCCTATTATATTGTCTTTAATGTGGCTTTTATAAAATACTTGTTTGCAGGTTATTTTGATTTATGAGTCGACAGCAGCCTTTTCTTATTATGGAATGTTAATATTCTTTTGTAAAGTGTTCTATATAAAATGAATATTTAGGTTGATATCAAATGTTTATAGAGGCATATTTTGAAAGTATTGTTGCATTTTATTCTTTCTGTCTTAAGTTTCATATTGAATTTCTTGCAGGAGAGCTCTGACCTCCCTGTTGCTCTGCTCTTGGCTCAGCATAAAGACAGATCTACCCAGCTGGAAATGCAGTTAGAGAAGCCCAGATCCATGAAGCCAGTGACATTTTCCACGGGCATTAAAATGGCAAGCCTTATTTTAATTGTTTATTTGAAAGAGATTTCTCAGGACTGTGCTTTTCAATTCTTCGGTAATTCTATGGTAAAATAAGTGGTTTAGCTGTTTAAGGACAGGTATGTTCTAAGTTAGATGTCTGGAAATATGACACATAGTGTAAGAAAGGTGAAAAGTAATACTTTTCAAAGGATAAAGAACAGTGTTTTCAGCGTGACATGGATTGGTGTGGTGTCGGCTGTGTGTGGAGATGAGACTCAGTGTCTTGTGCATGTTAGACAAGTGCTGTTTCACTGAGCTGCGTCCTAGGTCTGTTTTTCCTGTTATGTAAACTTGTAATCGTACATGAACATTTCTTCATTGAGAAGGCATAAATATGGTTAGGGAACTATTTATCTGCTGGTTTGAAATAGAGTAGTGGATTAATTTATACTTCCCTGCAGACAGGTTTTTTTCTACATAAATGTATTTCAAAAATGTATTAAAGCCATTTGTAGGTTCTATACTCTTTAAGGATAGACTGATTTGAATTAAAACATTGTTTAAGCTAACCATTCTTAAAATAAGGGTATGTTTATGAGTTGGTTTTTTTTTTTTTTTTGCTGTTGTTGTACAAGAATTATTAATTTTATTTTTTGTAACTTTCTAAATACATGTACTTAGTGTATGTGTATATCTGTGTGTGTCTGGACATGTGTGTGTCAGGGTCCATGTATGAAGGTTAGAGGGCATCTTGTAGGAGTTGAGTCTCTGCTTCAATCACGTAGATTCTGGGGATCAAGTTTCAGTCACAAGTTTGGCACTAAGTCACTTAATCATCTCACTGGTCCATGACTTATTTACATTGTTATAGTAATTTTTATGTGTTTTGATCCAGCGTCTTCTGATATAGCTATAATATATGTTTTCAAATGATTAAGTATATTTTAAAAGTTTCATTAAAGTAATATAAAGTATTGTACATGGTGAAATTGTGGTTAAAGATTTGAACTGTGGAATCAAGTTTGTCCCCTGTATCTGTAAAATGTCAATGACAATAAGTGTTTCATATTACCAAAGATGTTAAAGAAAAATGATGTGAGAAAAATGACCAACATCATGCCTGGCTGATGATAAGCGCTCAGTAAATGAAGATAACTGTTATCAGTGATAGCGTGAGTTGATTATTCAGATGACTGTTATCATTTGTCCATAAAAGTTTACATTTTGTGTTTATATACTGAGTGGAATTAGACATGCATTTAAATGTTCTTCTAACTTTATTGATACATGAGCTTGCCCAGTTTCTCTGCTTCCATTCTCCTCATCTATAAAATCATTTGCCTCTGTATAAGATTGCTCTGAGGATTAAATATTGTGTTCCTTAACTTCTGCTTGACATTTATAAAGTATTCTGTAAGTATGAAATAAAATTAGCATTCTGCAGTATTGTTTAATATTTTTGTTTTCATAATATAGTATATATGAGCTATAATATATTCTGTGTATGTCTAGCATTTATTAATACAGTTGCTATGCAGAATTTTTATATTTTTACCCTTTTTTCTTAAAATGTTTCGCTTTAAAACAGAAAGCTTCACCAATTAAAACTTACAGACTCATTGCTTGTTGTGAAATGGTTTTATTGTCTAATATCATTTTAAATATTTAGCTAATAGAATTTCTGATTGCTTGCTATGTTTTCTGTAACATTTTTTTTCTTGTATCACCACTGTCCCAGTATTTAAATTATTAGTTTACCTTTCTTATTTCTTTCATCTATAATTATCAGCTAATAAGCATTTCATAACTCTTGCTTAGAAACTAGGATGTTGAACAGATGAATAGACAGTTGACCAGAATTATATCAAAGTTTATCTTAAAGAAAATTATTAAAACTCCTAGTGAGTTATATAGACTGTAAGTATTTGTCATTTTGACATTGTGCGTGAATATTTTTTCACCCTTAAGCTAGTTCATATTGGGTTTGGTTTTTTTTTTTTCTTAAATATATAAAGTAGTGATGGTTCAATTGGCAAACTGTATGATATATAAGCATAAGGTCCTGCGTTCAGCCCTCAGAATCCATGTTTTTGTGTGTTTTGTTGTTGTTGTTTTTTAAAGCTTGGTGTGGTCTTGTGTGCTTGTGATCCCAGTGCTGGGTAGGCAAAGACACACTTGGGGCTGGGTAAACAGGCAGCCTAGCCCTGTGAGTGAGCTACAGGCCTATGAGAGATCCCATCTTAAAGAGGTGAGTTAGATAGCTCTTGAGGAATGATGCCAGAGATTGTCTTCTAGTTTCTACATGCATATGATACATTCACACTTACCCCCAAACCAAAAATCTAATATAACATCATGGAGCCACATAGCAGTAATAGAACTGTGTAAAACAGGGCTAGCCTAGAGGATGTGGTGCTTGCTGAGCATCAGTCTCAAACACTAATAAAACTGGGCTTAGTAATGCACACAGTCAGTCTGACACTTAGGGAATAAAGGCAGAAGGATCAGAAGTTCAAAGTCATCCTTGACTTCTTAGTAAGTTTGAGGCCAGCCTGGGCTACATGAGATCTTACCTCAAAGATGCAACAAAAACAGATGTGTAGAGTAATTTGGCATTGGAGTTGCTTCTCTAAGGTGAATTCTAGAAACAGAATGCAGTTACTTATTACAAGATATACTTTGCTTATATTGTATTAATCAGTTCTTTCTCTAAGGAAGTGTATAAAAAATTGGCAAATTAAGAATCTACTCTTCCATTGAAACTTAAGAGGATGGGGTTTGTAGCTTTTTGGTTGACATTTGTCATTGTATGCTCATGAGTAAGTGTTTCAAAGCTATTCTTAAGGGCATGCAGAAGTTGAGGTAGATAAGTTAGCTGAAAGACTAGTCCAGTCACTTTCTGGATGATGTCTAGTGCTTAGATGACAGAAAATAGCCAAATACCCAGAAGTCTTTCTGTCCTCAGTTGAAAGCAGAGCATGATGGGAATGCAACAGAGAATGGCTCAAAAATGTTACCACGCGCATTTTAACTAGATACAGTATTCTGACTGTAAAACACACAGACTGTTTCTTCTCACACTACATTAGTTTGAGCAATTATGTAGCAGATGCTATATAGTTATCTTTCTTTCATAGTCTATATAATCAGGGGTGACAGTCTAAGTAGAAGACACAGATCATCTAAGTTTCTCGAAAGCTCATTTTTTTTTCCCACCTGCTGCCTACAGTAACTTGAGTATCTCAATGATTGTCTCTATTTTAGAATTTATCTGGATTTCATTTACTTGTCTTTATCTCATCCATTCTAGGCTAGTTGCTATCAGTTGCTCTCTATTCTGAACACCTTATGGTCTACTTAATAAACTTTTTGGATGCTCCCCCAAATGAATAGATTTTAATAAATAAACAACATTTTAAAATTTGATAACTTTCTTGCTTAATATTTTATTGTCTCTCCAATTTTCCTAGAATAAAATCAGAACGTTAATCATTCATTCTTCTCATATCTGAGAAAGTGACATTTGTACTAACAAGTTTATGATGAAAATGAATTAGCCATGCAAAAATCCCAGCAGAGGGACTAAAAATGCCTGTGTAAGAAGTAGCCTTTTTACAAACGAAAAGCACATTTAACAATGTTTCTCCTACTACGCTTGGTTGTTATACATAATTCACGGGAACCTTTTCCCACCTTCAGTGTTTGAGAGAGCATCTTAAGTAGCCCAAGGTGACCTTGAACTCTCGATATAGTGGGAGATGATCTTAATTTGAACCTTTATCTCCACCTCTCAAGTGTGTTGATTATAGGAGGGAGCTACTGCTCTCAGCCACACTGAAATTTTGATGGTCCAATCTAAAGTATCTTTTTTTTTTTTTTACCAACACCCTATTATTTTATACTGTTAAACTCTTTAAATGTTTATTTCAATGTTTGGCATATAAGCATTGCATCCTAACACTAAAAATATGCCAGGGTTTAATGAAATGTTCTAGAAGAGTAAATGAACATTCTGCACTATGTTGCTATTAATGGAGTCTAAAGATATGCATATACTTTGAAGCTTCTTTGTCTTTATGGAATACTGTGCTTGGGATGTTCTTAAATGCTTGTGAAAACACCAGCTTTAGTTTAAAAAGAATTAATTGTATTCTGTTTTTATTGAGAACTTTGAGCGAAAGATGGCATTTCATGGCCATTTTTTCTTGTTTTTCTCCTTACTTTTTGCCTCCTCTTCTGCTGTGTTTACTGAGTCTCAGAGAAGATTTTAGAAATGCCTTATTTATGGCTGAGCACCCACTGCTTAGGGCCATGCAGTAGCGATGAATCTACCCTCACCGCCATTCACTGGGAGATGTGCCATTTTATTTTAGGGCCTTGAATGCCCTTGGATTTTGCTAAAATCAATACCTCACAGATATTAAGGCATAACTATGTTTGTTTAGACCAGCTTTGAATTTTTTTTGAAGAACAATCATTGCTTAACAAATATATTATAATAAAGATAACAGGAGGGAAATCTTCGTTGGTGTAATGTGTTTCCTTGAAGAGAGTAGGAAATTGAGCCAGAGTTGGCCCAGCAGCATTCCTTCTCATGAGAGGTGAATAGGATAGCATGGAGAGCTTTAACCATTTTCCCTGTAGTGTTTCCTTGCCATTAAGGCAAGACTTTAATGTTAACAGATAGATATCAGTGTCGAAGATTCACAGACATACCAAGTTCTAAAGAGCAGATTCCTCGAGAGCACCATTGCTGAATTCCCATGGTTGTTTGCTAGGAGAGGTGCCCACTGTTTATCTAATTATCTTGGGGTGGGGAGTGTGCTGTACAGATCTTTCTCTGTCTGGCCCTCCCTTCCTCCTCTCACCTCTGGTGGAAGCTCTTTCTTTTAGTTTGTTTTTAATTATGTTTAGCATTTGCCGAAAGGCAAAGCTGTAGTGGAAAGGCTTATTTCTGTGTTCGTGGTGCCTTCATGCTCTGAGTGCTACAGAGTTCTCTCATGTGGGCACAGAAGACAGCTCACAGGAGT